TCTAATTCCAGCTTCTCTTCAATGGATTTGTTAAACCTTTGATAGATTAGAGAGCCCTTTCCTGTTAGAGAGCTCCTGCTCTGATCGGTGCTTGTGAATGACAACAGGAGTGTGGAACTAGAAGGGACAGCTTGGGCCATCAAATCCCATTTCCCTGCAATTGCTGGCAACCATGTTATAAAGTCCATTTCAAACTCAATCTTAAAACTAATTGCGTGCCTTGCCCCCAGCGCTCCTCTCAGGAATCTGTTCCAGAACAACATTTCTCCCACTGTTAGAAACCATCTGATTTCCAGCCAAAAGTTATTTGTGCCAACTCATACCTCTTTGTTTTTGTGCCAGCACTGCCTATTATCTGAGGCCATTTTCCTCATTTCTTGGTGCTCATCTGCTTGTGCATTTAGAGAGCAGGGACATGCTCTCCAGCTCCCCTCTCACTTGGCCAAATATGCCCAGGTCCCCTCAGAAAGGCTCTGCAGTCTGAAGATATCCTCGGAGTCTGGCTCTGCCCCTGCTCCTCTGCCAGTTTCTGTTCCTGGAGCAAAGGTGTGACAATACTGTAGTAGATAATCCCACGTCTAAGCAGGGATTGCGCCAGCACTCAGTCATCTCTRCCTTGGAGTGGAGTTCTGCTTGCCCTCATGAGCCAGGCTACCAGCCTCTGCACAGCAGCACCTCTGAAAGGGCTTCCCAGTCTATTATGRGTGAAACATGGCYCTAACTGGAGCCTGGTCTTCAKCATGTGCAGTCAGACCYTGCTGGCTGCTGCAGGGAAGGGCTYTCAGCTGCCTGCCRTGACTTATTGTCACATGTCCCCATAGCCAAGATTCTGGGACAAATCTCAGCACTGCTGTCCCTGGGGAKATGAGAGTACCACAGGCATATCTCCCAGGCTGGGGCAGCCACAAGACACTCCAAATGATGGGAACTTGCAAAAAACTGCATGCAAGGGGTGGCTTCTCCATGGTCACCCACAACAGAGTTCCTTCCCCTTTGTCAAAGTCAACTGCTCTTGATCCCTGCCAAAATGTGGGGCATGAACTAAGTGATCTGCCTGACCAACCCACCTGGCAATTCCCAGTTGGCCTTGCTGGACTGGCCRCTGCTGCCTGCCTGGGAAGTGCTCCCATTGCTAATTGATGTGCCYTGGAGGGCCAGGTAAATACAGGGTAAACAGAGAAGCCTTTAAGAGCAGAACTGTCAAATAAAGTGTTACACTCCATCAGCTCCTATTGCATCCACTGGCTGAACAGCACTAGCCAGCATTGGATAACACTCAGATCTGCTCATGGATGCGTTTGACATCCGTGCAGGAAAAATACACACTCTGTGATGAGTCAAGAACCAGAGCCCAGCAGCAGGCATTTAAGGCTGAACCATTTGTTTTAGAGGGCTTTACATTCTGGTTATAAAATTTCCTCTGGGCTGGAAGCTGGTGCCCAAGAAGAAATTGTCTCTCGGTTCTGTGTGTTTTGCTGTAAATCCTGTTAGTCTCCTGTGCAACACGTCATGGGAGCCAGAGCCACAGGGATGTCAAGCTGGGGCATTCTGCTAAGCACTGCAGTTTGGGTGTGTGCTCAGTATCAGAATGACCAAAGCACTGTGACTTTATTAAATAGGGTCTAGTTTCAGGTTTATTTTATATTTTTGGAACTGGAAACTGTTTGGGTTTTGCCTTGGGTTGGGTTATGGTTTTTTGGTGTGATATTAAGAAACTCGAGARTAGGCTTGTGGCTGCCAGCAGGATCCCTGTGGGTTCTCCAGTTTGGAATAAATGTATCTCCAGATGAGAAGGATTCATCTCTCTCAAGGTAGATCCAGTTATATGTGCTAAGCAGAGCAGCCAAATGAACCTGCTCTGCCCAGGGCTTCCTGAGAGCATCCATCTGTCCCCAGAGCTGCAGTGTGACCCCCACTGCACCTACTGGGATTCTCATTTAAGGTTCAAGCCTGATTTCCAAATTTGCAGCTGCCATCCTGTGGGCTTGGGCCATCCAGGACAGGGACTGTGTTCCTCCCAGTGGGCTCTTCAGCACCTGAGGGGATGCCCAAGGCCAAGTGCTGCTGCCCGGGGGCAAAGCTGTGCTGCTCCTCCAGCTCTGGGGTGGGACATGCGAGAGGCAGCGCTGTGAGCAGGGTGGGGGGACAYGAGGCTTCGCATCTGTCAGTTTGAGTTAGTCCCCAAACATTCACATTACTGTAATGCAGTTGAAAATGAATCCACGGGTTACAGGAAATGATTTACAGGACACAAGACACTGCATTTCAGAGGTCTCATGTGTGCCATAAAAAATATATTATGAAGGAATAATCTCCATCGGAACTGGAGCTGCACAAGAGAGAACACATGTCCAGCTGAGAGCAGCATTGAGCTTTTGTTCATTATGGGAATGTCGGTGCTTTTCCTCTTTTTTCATGAGTACATTTCTCAGCTCCGAGTAGCAACCTAATATTGGCATTTATTTTTTGTTTCCAAATGTTGCTTTTGCAATGAGACCAAGTGTAGCTGAGACTCCAAAGGCATGTTGCTCTGGGGAAGCTGGCAGTCCTGAGGGATTTAGGTCAGGCGAAGAGTAAAGTCAGGGCTCTGAATTTTAGGAAAGCAAACTGCCAGCTCTTCAAGGAGTTAGTCARTGTGACCCCTGGGAAACTGCCCTCAGGGACAAGGAACAGAGCAGACCTGGCAGATCTTTAAGGACACTTTCAATAGAGCACAAGAGCTTGTGATCCCCAGGCACAAGAAATCAGGCAAGGAAGGCAAAAGTCTGCAATGGCTGATGTGGGACGTGCTGGTCAAACACAAAAGAAGGAAGGAAATGAATAGGCAGTGGAAACAGGGAGAGGTATAATGGGAAAAATATAGAGAAACTGGCTGGTTGTGTAGGGATGGGAGAAGAAAGGCGAAGGCTGGAACTGAGCTTGGCAAGGGACACAGAGAATGACAAGAAGGGCTTCTACAGGTATGTCAGCTGAAAAGGGAGATCAAAGCAATTAGTACCAGGACAAGGAGGAATGGCTTCACACTTACAGAGGGCAGGGTTAGATTGGATATTGGAAAGAGGATGGTGAGGCCCTGGCACAGGGTGCCCAGAGAAGCTGTGGCTGCCCCAATCTGGAAGTGTTCGTGGCCAGGTTGGACAGGACTTGGAGCAGCCTGGGATAGCAGAAAGTGTCCCTGCCCATGGCAGAGGTTGGACTATATGACCTTGAAGAATCTCTTACAACTCAAAACGTTCCATGATTCCGTGTTCTCTATGCAAGGTTTGGAGATGAGCTTCCCCTCTAAAGCCTGAGCCATCCGTGGGCTACCCCAATAAAACCTAGGCCAAAGCTCATCAGCTGGGGCAGCATGAGGAAGCTCTGCCAGCTCTCTCCCATCCAGCCTCATCTACAGCACCTCTGTGTGATGGGATGCACAATCCAGCAGTTTCCCAGAGTGCTGAGTGGACAAGTGTCACTGCCTCCAAATACTCCACCTGCTCCCAGGCAGGATGATGTACACAGCATTCACAGATGCGTGAGGCTGGAGACACAGTCTGCTTTTCACCCGTGATGGCTCAGAAGTGCAGCTGTGGCCCTCATATATGTGAACATGTAGCTGCTCTGCAGCTTTTACCACTGGGGTCAGGAGCTGGCTCTTTCAGTGATCTGCGGCCCTCAGGTAGTGCCGGTAGTGCAGGTGCACAAGGAGAGATTGCTGCTTGTTCACCTGGAAGRGTTTTAGCAAATGGCTGCGTTTCCCAGTTCATCTCTGTACATGGCACTGCCAGTGCTGTTCTGCTGTGGGGCAGGATGTCAAGAGCTGTGACATGCCCCAACATTCCAGCGCAGCACTCACGATTGGAGAGACTCCTGGAGACCCCAGACGAGGTWTAGGAAAAAGCTGAAAGACAATAACACATTTCTTCCTTGCAYAAAATCCTTCCTAAAGCCAAAGCTGAGAACTGGAGGTGGGAAGTGACAAAACGTGGAGCTGGAAAGAGGTGATGGCTGCTCCACAAAACTGTGAGGAGGGAGGCTGTCAGCCCCAGCCTGCTCCACCAAGGYTGAGGACAGAGTTCCTGGAAGAGCGGCATGTGAGGGTGTAATTGGCCTCATCTACTAGTGCAGTTCCTGGCACTCAAACTATGAACTCTCCATGCTCCAAATTAAGTTCCTGCCTGCCCCTGCCCACAGTCTACCACCTCTCCTCAGGATTCCAGGAGAAAGCAGGCTGCCCTAAGAAACTGTTCTCTCTGTCCCAGGTCCCCATAGGGCCAGAACCAAGGAACCTGAGCCCTGGTGCATGGGGCTGTCCCARAGGACCTGTCTCTTTGGCAGCTGGAGGCTCTGCAGGAACCAAGGGCTGGGGACAGAATAGACTTTGGGGGAGGTGGAGGAGAGCAGGTCAGAATACGGGGCCAAGGASCTGTGGCACGGTGATATTTTTGCAGGGGAAAATGAGGATGATTTGTAAGGTACAGCTGACATTGCTCCTGTTTCTGAGCCCCTGTGCCCTCCCATGCCGTGAGCGCTGACTCGGGTGGATGTGGCACGGCGGGTGGCTCCGGGCAGCAGATGGGGCGAGAGGGGTGTGGGGCAGCTGAGGGCTGTTCCCGGCGAGTCAGGGGGGCCAGCGGGACTGCGGCAACTGGGCCTGCCTGGCCCGGGGGATTCGGCACCGCCTCCCGCCGCTGTCCGCGGTGCTGCCCGTGGTGCCGCTGCCCG